TGGCTGGGCATGGTGGCATATGCCTGTAACCCCAGCTACTCCAGAGGCTGAGGCAGGAGAATTGCTTGAACCAGAGAGGCGGAGGTGGAGGCTGCAGTGAGCCAAGATCACGTGGCTGCACTCCAGCCTGGGCGACAGAGCCAGACACTGTCTGAAAAGAAAAAAAGAAAAGAAAGAAAACAGTGTTGTCACTCACATCCCCAGGCCACCCTATCCTTTATTTTATTTCCCACCACCCTGGGAAGGAAGGATGTTGCCTTAAACACTCCCATTCATGAGTTATTGGTGGTTCTTCCTCAAGTGCAAGTCAGCAGGTTGGGAGGTCTAGAGCATTCCAGGATGCTCTGCCCCACTCAGCCATAGGACTCTGTGCAGGTTCCTGATCTGCTGGGACGGCTCCCTCTGCATTCTCTAAGTGTGGACTCTTGGCCATTCTGATGGCCTTGCCTCTCTGCCATTGCTTACTGAATGAAGCCGGTCTCTGGGCAAAACCAGGTCAGCCGCCTCTTTCCCTCTCCTGCAGGAAGGTGGAGGATCTGCAGCTTCACATGGAGGAGGAGTCCATCCCCAGGGAGACCTGGAGGTAACAACAGTCAGAGGTCCCTCCCCTGGTTATGCTCAGCACAAGTGCTGGCCCATACTAGTGCAGATGGTTATGAGGTCTAGCAGCAACTATGGGTCCCCCAGTGAAGGGGCTGTGGGGGGAAACGGGGAAAGATCAAAGGTCTGGTGTCTGAGGTGTGAGTGGCTCAAACCCAGGAGCCTCCAGGGGGGCTATGTTCCCCATGTCAGCAGCTGGATGGGATGGGCAGGATGAACCCAAGGCAGGGCAGATGGGAGGCTGGGCTCCAGGACGGAGTGGCTGAGGTCCCCTGTCCCTTCTTCCTGGGCAATAGCCCTAAAGGTGCCCCTTCGTTCACCTTGGATTCCAGGTAAAATTTTGGCTGAAAGTAGCTTGCTGAGTCACAGAATTTATAGGTAGGAAAACTGAGGCTCAGAGACCAAGGGAGCCAGCTGTGGTGGCTCATGCTTATAATCCCAGCACTTCAGGAGACCAAGGCAGGAGGATCACTTGAGCTCAGGAGTTTAAGACCAGCCTAGGCCATATAGCAAGACTCCACCTCTATAAAAACTTAAAAAGTTAGCCGAGCATGGTTGCGTGCACCTTTGGTCCCAGCTACTCAAGAAGGCTGAGGCTGGAGGATTGTTTGAGTCTGGGAGATGGAGGTTGCAGTGAGCTACGA